TGATGATGGATGACGATTAACCAACGATATAAGTAAGAGTTGATAGCTTTTTGTATAAAGTTAAGAAATAAACAACGATGTTATTAGGCTTGTTAACGATTTAACAACTAAGTGACCAAATATAGTTAATGGTGAAATCTTAATATTAAATTTGAAGTTTAAAAAGGTTTAATGACCAAATCTTCGTAAACAGACTAAAGTTAAGTGAGTAAATATATAGTGTATCCTTATTAAATTGAGTGCTTCAATCAATTTACAAGTTTTTGGTGTTCAACACTGTTCCAAGCACATGAAATTGTAGTTATATAGAGGGAAGTTCCTGCTATTGGGGATGACTCATGGGTCGCAATTCCAAGGCATAACCGATATGCCCTGGATCATTGTGGACAGCACCATGGTTTGGTTATAGATGAACGTCATAATCTGCAAAAACATTCCATGCTTTTAGTGGGGAGCTTTAATTCATTGGAAAAAGCTTTTGATTCATCATCAACAACAATCAGGTGCAATAGGGGGAAATATCCAAATTGAATAAAGAAATGGAGAAAAAGAATAGGATACACTACAAGGTTAGTTACTAAAATTTAGTTTCCGTATCGATTTGGTCATTGAGTTTTAAAAATTTATTTTTAGTATTAAATTTTATATGTTGATTTTCTTTATTATGAGGTCATTAAATCATTAATAATGCGATAACATGATTGTTTTTTTCATTTCTTTTAGAAAATCATTAATTTAGGTATCATTGTCGACCAAAAATGTTTTGTCACCGATCATTTTTTGTGACAAAATCAATACCAAAACGTTCGTATTTCACTCATCTTTCTTTTCATTGGATTGATCGTTTATGAAATCTAATCAAAATCAATGAAAATTCATGTAAAGTTTTGACATTTTAATTTATTGAACTCCTTCGACATCCAACCGATAAGACTAATTTCGATGTATGTTATTCGTATTCGCAAAAAAAACACTTTTACTATTTAAATTTTGAAAAAACATCCTAGACCCCTCAAATATGAGAAACTCTTCAAACTCCTAAATAGACTTTGATAAAACCTAAACCTATAATATATATATATATATATATATATATATATATATATATATTTACTTTTAAGTATCAAAATATCACGTCATCGATTATTATGATTTAGATGTTAATAGAAGAACAAATTCAAAAAGTTTACGATAAAATTAAAAATAAATTATAATTGAGCGACTCAAACGGGACAATCTTAAAATTTAATCACCCAAAAGAATATACGAAATCCTCCTTTTCTTGACAGCGTTTTGCCTGTGGAGATGAATACGTATGGTTGCTGAATATTGAGGTGACTGTGTCCCACACTATAGGAAACCTTACGTTTAGGAAACACGGTGACTCAATGAGTCAATGTAATTGAGTCACATCTAGAATGCTGCCCTTGATTAGTTTCTTATATTTTAGTTATGTTTTCCTTCTTTTTCCCCCCTTTTGCTTCATGAGATAGTTCACTTCTCCCTTCCATTTGTATTCGCAAGTTATGTTTCATCTTTTGATCCTTAAACCCAGAAAAATATGGGTATATGTAGAAATTGAGGGGTTGATATCGAGAACAAATGCTAACTTTGATTTTAGTAAGGAGATAGTTTTGAATTATTTTACACTTAATCAACAATTTAACCGTCAGCCTATATAGCATGCTCTGAAACAGGTTTCAGTGTTCAGTTATGTCCTTTGTATTGAAAGAGAGGCCTACTCATGGAGACAAAATTCTTTGGTGCTACCATAGCTCTGGCTCTTACTCGGCCAAGTCAGGATATAATTGGCTGAGGATCCAAAGCATCCCAGCTTGGCTTCGGAAAAAATTTGGAATGCTATTGCCAAGGCAAATGTTCTCCCGAAGATCAAAATCTTTGGATGGAGACTCTGTCATGAAGCACTGTCTACTGGGGAAAAACTTAAACAGGCCAGATTTGGAGAAGGATCTTGTAACCATTGTAATGCTTCAATGGAGTCGGCATTGCATGCGATTAAGAACTGCCCTAAGTCGAGATCTATCCTCAAGCTGTCGGGATTGGCCGATTATATTGTTGACTGGGACGGAAACTCATATTTTGATTGGCTCAACTTCTCGTTCACCAAGCTTAACCGAGAAGGATTTGACTTACTCCTTACACTGCTTTGGAATATATGGAATCGTAGGAACAAGTGGATCCATGACTCGGAGCTTCAACCGGAAAGAGAAGTCATTTTAAAATCCTGGAATCTTCTTGGGGAGTTCAAACAGGTTACAAATCCGTTCGGTTGCCTTACGGATAAGACCCCTCCCGTCGTAACCGCAATTGGTGTAAGCAGTCGCTAGGAGGGATCAAGATTAATGTGGACGGAGTATTTTGTCCGTTTCTCAAAAGGCTGCCGTAGGCATTGTGGCACGTGATTCGAATGGTATGGTCCTTGGAGGAACGGCTAGACACATTGATCCCCAAACATGGCGGAGTCCACAGAAGCCTATGCATTTTCAAAGGGAGTCCAACTTGCTGTAGAGAACGGTTGGAGTAATGTGGTTATTGAAGGGTGAACAGAGTGGCTCATACTTTATTGGACGAACCTGAATGTATTAAGCATATTGTTATCATTGATGCTATTGGATTACTCAAAAAATAAAAAAGAAATATTGACATCATCATATCAGCAAACACTAAACAACAGTGTTTTGAAAATCGGACCAGATCGGCCGATTCAACCGATTCAACCAGGAACCGTTGCCTAGTCCAGTTCAATCTACCCGGGTTGAACCGTTACTAGTGAATCGGCCGGAACCGCTGAACCGTTCAAACCGGACCGGGAAAAACCAAAAAAAACTGTCAATTTTGTTTTTTTTTTATAAAAAAATTAAACCAAACAACGTCGTTTGTTAAACGAGCCAAGTCGAACTCGAGTATTGTTGAGCTCGACTCGAACTTAAAAACTTTAAAAGTAAGCTCAACTCGACTCAAACTCACGAGCTAAAAATTATCAAGTTCAACTCGAACTCGAAATATAATATTGAAACTTGAACTCGAAAAGACTTGAACTCAAAAAAAATTAGAAGCTCAATTGAAGCCTAAAATTCGAGCTTGATTGAAGTGAAAGAATAGTTCACTCAATGCTCACCAAAAGGCTCCATGATTTTGAATGCCAAATTACCTCTATTATTTTTAGAAGTTAGTTGGGATGCTCTTATATGTTTCTTAGCCATGTGGGATTGTTTAGTTCTCATATTTTTACTCTTTAGACTTTTAGGATGCTCTTCTATATTTCTTAGCCATGTGGGATTGTTTTTTTTTTAAAATCTAAACCAAACAATATCATTTTGTTATGATTTTTTTCGCCCTAAATTTATTTTTTAATTATAGTTATATAATTATATTTATTATTTATTATTTAATTTGTTTTACCTTAAATATTATGTTGTAGTTAATTTGAATCATTTTGTTTCACTTGATTTTATGGTTCGCTAACCGGTCCGGTTCTAAAAACCATGCTAAACAAGCATAAATGCAATAAAGAAAATAAATAAAGAGAGAAATTAAGCATAAGATTTGATAATGATCATCTTTGATAGATTCTCTTTCACCATGAATCTAAAAAAGAAAATATTAAAATAAAATAATTAATACATTTGAAAATAGCAACAGCTCTTCTAAGATTTTATCTTAGATAAACGTACGCATAAAATGAAACTCTTTAATGATGTTATTCTTAGTCATCTAGACGGTGTAGAATACCATCATATCTCCTTATTATGTAATTGATAATCACATTTAAAATAAGAAAATATTGAACAAAGAAGAAAATCTCTACAAATAGTTTTTGAAAAAAATAATTGTATTAAATTAAGTTGTGTCTTGAATGGAAATGAAGAAAGTCGATTTATAAATTAAAAAAATCATAAAATTAAACTAGAGACAAAGATAAAAATGAAGATAGACGATAAATAAACAATTTTGATAAGTTAGAATTTATTTTCTATCCAAATAATATAATTTAGATAAACTAAATTTCTTTGTATCCAAAGAAAATAATTACTAAAATTATCTCAACCGTCCCTAATATCATCAACAACTAATCAATTAATGTTTTCTTTATATTATTTTTTTTCATAAATACAACATTTTTGCTATTTAATCTATGCAAAGATAGGATCAAGTGGACAAGTGGTGCCATGCAAAGATAGAATCAAGTTGGATATACGCCAAGCCAAGAAAAAAAAACCTTAAACGGTCAATAAAAAAATTGTCTACAAAAGCAAACATTTGTTATCATGGGAGGATACAAGTACAACCAAGCTGATAGAGTCTAGCAAAATGAAAGCTACTTTCGATTAAGACCATAAAACGTGAGGATAACAAGACATGTTAGTGACAAGCATATATATTGATTTGTTGCTAAATAGTACATTTGATGTTGACAATTGATTTACAAACACTTTCTTGCATACAAAAGTTTAGCAACTACATAATCTATAGTCACTCATGCTTGATCTTTTGTTTCCTTTGTTTAATGTATTGGAGAATAAGAATCCATATATAAACATGTTTAGGAATGAATACAAACATGTTTAAGGAATGAATTTAAAAAATATAAAATATTTGTATAAAAAGTAGTTTATTCGTGAAGAAAGTGGAATGTTGCATATGATTAAACAATTAAAAACCAATAATGGGGTTTTAAGTAATTTTAATTTAGCCTTAAATATTCTTCACACGGTTTAATTTTTAAAAAAACAAAGAATTCGATTCTTCTCTAAGCCATTTCAATCAGTAGCTATGAGGAGATGTGAAATTCAAAAGATACCATTAAACTTAAACAACTGATGAACCAGGAACAAGTTATTTTCTCTATTGTGGTACATCTTTTAGTTGTAGTATGTGTTTAGATAAGAACATGGGCAAAAACCACGAGGGTTCATGGTTAATTATGATTAGTTATTAAGCTACAAAATACTTTGTGGGAAGAGGGGGTTACATAGTAGTTTATATCGCTCGCATGAGGAAGGACAACTCTGCTTGATATAATTTTTTTATCAGCATCTGGAAGAAAACATAGTGTATTGGTTTATGTTCCTCGAGAGCCGAAGGTGTTGTTTGAAGCTGGAATTTCTATAGTTTTAGCAGTTCCATCAATGGCCACCATTGGTCTACCATTGTCTGTGATGGGCAGTTCCTGCAGGCCATTGCTTTTTTCATCAGTTTCCGACTGTTTCCCGTCTTTGGCTTTGCCCCAAACCACAGTGTAAAGGCCTGACACTATGATAATAGCTCCAAGCACGCTGAAATCAATCAAAAATAGGAAGAAAATGAGCAATCAAGCCATGCGTGCGTATATATATATATATATATATATATATCATTCATGTGTTAATATCATACCTTCCAAGATGGACTTTTTCAGCTAAAATAAAGGCCCCAAGTCCTGCAGTGATGATCATGCATAGAGGGCTGAAAGATGTTACGAAAACCGGCCCTCGTTCCCGGATCACGATGCCTTGAACGTAATAGGCTATCCCCGAGCACACTATTCCCTACTCAAACACGGTTATAGCGAAGCGTTAAGCACTTGTGATTCGTAATCATATCCTGCAGAAGAAAAGGGGGACTTACAGAGTAAGATGCAGCGAGAAGCCTGGCGTCGAATCCGATTTTCCAGGCACTAAAGTCACGAACCATGATAAGTGACAACAACCCATCTTGCACCATTCCCATGAAACATATCCAAGCCGTAAGAGAGAGCTCTGCCGGGTACTTCTTCAATGTGAAGGACTGAGCCAGAAACAGTAACCGATGTTTAGCAGGTTCATAAACAATTAAGTGGTTTTAAGTTATTATTCAAAGAGACTTGAAATATTTCAACTGACTTGCAAAATAAAGAAGCTTGACCAGCCAAAGATACTTCCGAGAAGCACTATGGTGCCAGAAACCCAGTGTTGATCTGCAGATTCACCGGCGGTTACATAGTGTGCGCCTCCTCCTGACTTGATGAAGTTGATAATAGGGCCTTTGTACAAAGTCATCACCATTGCTCCTGAGCCAGAAACAGTAACCGATGTTTAGCAGGTTCATAAACAATTAAGTGGTTTTAAGTTATTATTCAAAGAGACTTGAAATATTTCAACTGACTTGCAAAATAAAGAAGCTTGACCAGCCAAAGATACTTCCGAGAAGCACTATGGTGCCAGAAACCCAGTGTTGATCTGCAGATTCACCGGCGGTTACATAGTGTGCGCCTCCTCCTGACTTGATGAAGTTGATAATAGGGCCTTTGTACAAAGTCATCACCATTGCTCCCAACACCGTGATTAAAGTCCCTACGATCTTTGCAACACTGCGTATCTTCTTCGGATCCACCTTCTCTAGCCTATTTGACATATAATTACCATATTAAAGAAATGATGATTAAGTGTGTTGTGATTTAATGGACGTATTTATCAATGAAATGGTTTGAATAATTTTACCTGAAAATCACTGCCAGTATGAAAGTAACAGCAGGAAGCATATTAACGAAAGCAGATGAATATGTAGCATTTGTTAACTTCATTCCCATATAGTATAAGTTCTGGTCAAGCACCGGCCTGCGCATAATAATCCATTATCAACAACTTCAATAAACCTTTTTACATTCCTATAATAAATATGCAACAAAACAAAGGGAGTTTAGAACCGTACTCCAGGAATCCAAGAGCCACGATCCTGAGGAAGATAGGGAGAGTCATCTTTGGTCTAATTTTCCTGCATGTAAAAACAATGCCAAAGCAATTCAATATATATTGATTAATATTTGATGCACTGACGATATATAATTATAATGACAGGTTGAGAAATGAACCTTTCAAGAACGATGGCGAAGGGTGCAATGACAATGGTGGCGACAACGTGGCGGTACGTAGCGAGGATGTAATTGCTCATGCCATGCTTCAAAGAAATGGTGGAGAGGATGTACATCCCCGCAAATCCAAACTGGAGGGAGACGATGGCCAAGTATGGTTTCACTTTGTTCAACACCTTGGACAAAGTTGCTACGCATGATGATTGGTCTCCCATGTTTTCTCTCTTTTTGTTCTCTCTCGACTACTTGCTCCGAGGCTTGCTACTTCTCAATGTCAAATGGCCTTCTTATAGACAATAAAAGGCTAAGACAATAATAATAAGCATGGGATTTAGTCCCCAACTTCTAAACGCTTTCCAACTTAGCCCTCGATACTTTTTTGTACTTACTGAATTAGTTTCCATAAATGTAAATCTCACTTATCCATTAATAATAATTTAAAAAATAGTTTTATATCAAATCAATTGGGATACTCTTGCTGATGAAAACCAAAAGAATAAGAAGGAAAGAAAGGAGTGGATATCTGTGAATATGGTGCTTTTGGGTTTTGTTTAGAATAAAATGGAAAGAAAGTAGTGGGGATTAGATTCATAGACAATTAAATGATGGTTAGGTTAAGTGGGATGATGCATGCAAAAAAAATTAATTTCTTTCTTTGTAAGTGTTTATAATAATTAAGATTTGAAACTTTAAGCACCATTACTAATATATTTTAAAAGCTTAATTTCAGACACACATATACTTATATAAGATTGTCGTATGTCATTAAAAAATTAAATAATATTTTAACTCCAAAATTTATCTCATTATTATTTTATCATTTAAATATTTTTTAACTCGTTAAGTGATTCCGATGATAAAAAGAGAGTGTTATTTTTTTTTAAGTTTTGAGCTTGAACAGTTACGTCTACATGGTTATTATTAGTTGACTAAAAAATTCTAAATAAATAATATCGTATAATTACTCCATACTAATAGAAAAATATTTTCTAATTTAATTTTATCAATGTTTTCAAATGTGAAGCGCCTTAGTCCAATAAATATTTTTGTTAGGAAAAAGTCACAAGACACTTGCAACGTATTACATGGTACCAAATAAATATTAAAAATTCGAAAATACGAAGAAAAAAAAGAAAAATTAGAAGAAAAAAATCTCATTTTCGGAAAATTTTCTATATGTTTAAATATTTTTCTATTTTTTTATTATTTTAAATAACATACAAAGTCGATAATAAAGGAGCACCGTGAGCAATTGCTCCAAAAGAATTTTATTTTATTTTTTATTTTTATAATTGTGGTGTCTAATTTTTTTAATCTCACTTTCTATCTATCCAATTGAGATCCCTAATTTTTTTAATTTTATTTTTAATCTTTATAATTGATGCCTTTAATTTTTTTCAATCTTACTTTCTACTTTTATAATTGAGGTCCCTAATTTTTTTTAAATTCACTTTTACCTTTATAGTTGAGACCCCTAATTTTTTCAACCTCATTTTTTACTTTTATAATTTAGGCTCCTAATTTAATCATTTTCGTACTATTTATTAATGTAATATTAAATTAATTGTTCAAATTAATAGAGTATATTTTCGTTCAGTAAGAACTTATTTTTTAGTTTCGATCAAGGTTCTGAAAAATCTGATATGGCTTGGATAACATATAGTGTATTTTTAAGTATCATATATTTTTTAAATAAAAATATTCAATAATGTTGACATCGTTTTTTGCCCCGGGCGGGAAAAGACTAGTACCGACTTGGGGGTTTTTTCTTTGAAAAGGTTTTGAAATGTGAGAAGTCGCCACCAATCATTTAAGGTGCGATTGGGACACCATAAAAACTGGGTGATTTTAATAAAACATTTTATTTTTATCAAAATACCAAGTTTAAGGTTATGCGGAAATCCAGAAATCAGGTTCGGGAGTCGATTATGAGTGGGGAATGATTAACATCCCCACAAGCGCCCAAAAATTGGTACCTAGTTGATTACCTATATTTAGAATCAGAAATTTTGAGTTTCAAACTTTATTTAATTTAAAAATCATTATTGATGCAAAGTTAAAAAATGGCATTTGTTTATTAAGACCGATAGCATTCGCCCCTAGCATGAGTGTGGAAACCCAACTATTGTGCCCAATAACCGATATTGCCTCGATATTTTAGAAATCATGATGCGGTTTTGAAAAGGATGTTGACCTATTTCGGGAATCACCAGTAGTCACCCCAGAGCATACTTGCGAGAGATATACTATGAATTCCATAATAAGTGAACATTGTCTTAGGTTTAAAAATAAAATGAAATCAAACAAATTTTTATTCATCCTAATTAAGTTAAGGGTAAATTAAGGCTCTCTCTATCCTAATGTGTCAAGTTATGAGAATTAAAGAACCTAAAGGAACAAACCTAGAAATGTAGGTTCTAATATTAACCCTATTTAATTTTTAATCAATTATTAAATCGAATAATCGAGATGGTCCCTTGAGCATTTAGGCGAGGGTCGACTCGAATTATTCCCTAAATTAAGAGAGCTATATTAAAATCTAGCTAAAATTGGAGGCTCTATTTAACCTATTTGATTATGTTAATTTAAAAGTCTAATTGAAATTTAAGGACTAAAGGGTCAAGATCTAGAATCCAAAGTTCTAAAAAATTTTCAGGCTCGATGGAGTCATCAGCACAGTCCGGGAAAAAGCTTGTACTTCAGTCCTCAGAGAAGCAATACACGTTTCAGGCCTGCAGCATCCTCACGTTAGTTGGCATCGAGGTAATTCCTCGTCGTATTATCATGGGTTCTCTATGAGTTTTGTGGTAAACAACACAACAGGAGAGTGTCGTAAGAAGATGGGTCTTTGCTCTCAGTGTGGATCTAGTGGTCATTTCGGAGGAATGTCCTCAGCTAGCTTTGTTTGAGCAGACCGCTACTCAGACTCCTGTGCGTTCTCAGACTACAGTACAAACTCCAATTAGAGATCGTAGCCAAGTAAAGGCTCGTGGTTCAGCGTCCAAGACTGACAGTAGAGCCCGACCTCAGCAAAATAGAGGGCCAACAGTTTCTGAGGCTAGACACCAGCTTTGGTTTATGCCACTAGACGTCGGGATGACAGAGATGAGCTGATGTTATTACATGTACATTACTATTTTTCTATCCCATACTTTGCATTACTGGACAATGGCTCCACTCACTCCTATGTATCGAGCTCGGTATCTCGAAACCTTCAGATTCCGATCGAGCTGAAAATACTGTTACAGTTACGAGTCCAGTAGACAAGCGGTATTAGTGAATAAAGTATTTTGGGTTGTCCTCACGAGGTTCAGGAGAAATTTTCTCGCTGATCTTATGGAACTTCCTTTAGAGGGAGTTCGATATAATTCTTGGGATGGATTGGTTGAATAAACACAAGGTAAATCTGGATTGCGAATACAGCGGGCTACTCTAAAGACTTCAGATGGTCGGACCGTTGTGTTAATTGGTGAACGGCGTGGCTATCTCTCCATATAGTTTCAGCGATGGAAATTGATCGTATGTACGGAAGGGGTATGAGACTTTCATTGCTTGTATTTGAACACTAAAGGTTCATTGTCCACGATCGAAGATCCGTACAGTTAGCGAGTTTCCTAATATCTTCCAGAGGAGTTGCTAGTTTACCTCCTGATTTAGAGGTAGAGTTTGAGATAGAGACTATCCGGATCTGCACCTATTTATATGGCACCTTATCGCATGGCTCCAAAAGAACTTAAGGAGTTAAAGGTCCAATTGCAAGAATATTCGATCGAGGATTTATTCGGCATAGTACTTCACCATGGGGAGCCTCCAGTCTGTTCGTGAAATAGAAGGATGGGTCGCTAAGATTATGTATTGACTATAGGAAGTGAATCAGATGACGGTCAAGAATAAATATCCACTACCCAGAATTGATGACTTTTTGATCAGTTGAGAGGAGCTATGTATTCTCTAAGATTGATCTTCGTTCGGGTTATTATCAATTGAAAGTTAAAGGATCTGATGTTGCCAAGACGGCCATTCGCATAGATATGGTCATTATCAAATTCTTAGTGATGCCTTTTGGTTTGATGAATGCTCCTGCAGCTTTCATGGATTTGATGAATCGGGTGTTCCGACCATATTTGGATCATTTGTGGTGGTCTTATTGATGATATTCTGATCTATCTCATACTGAGGAGAGAGCAGACGAGCATTGAAAATCGTTTACGGACTTTGAGAGAGCATCGTCTATATGCCAAACTAAGCAAGTGTGAATTTTGGCTTCAAGAAGTGTCGTTTCTGGGGCATATAATTTCTGCGCGAGGTATTCAGGTCGATCCAAGCAAGATCGAGGCGATTGTGAATTGGAAACAACCCAAGAATATCTCTGAAATCCGCAGTTTCTTCGGCTTGGCTGGTTATTATCGACGTTTTGTTGAGGGCTTCTCGATCATTGCTTCTCCTTTGACAAAGTTGTTAAGGAAGAATGTGCCGTTTGACTGGGGTGAGGCACAACAGGAGAGCTTTGAGAAATTAAAGGCAGTATTGACTCAAGCACCAGTGTTGATGCAACCAGAGTTCGGGAAGGATTTTACAGTGTATAGTGATGAGTCACACTCAGGACTCAGCTGTGTTCTAATGCAGGAAGGTAAGGTAGTGGCTTATGCATCCCGTCAGCTGCGATCGCATGAGTGTAATTATCCTACTCATGATTTGGAGTTAGCAGCAGTGATTTTTGCCTTGAAGATTTGGAGACACTATCTTTATGGAGAGAAGTGTTACATTTTCACGGATCATAAGAGTTTAAAGTATCTTCTGACCCAGAAGGAACTTAATTTGAGACAGTGACGCTGGGTAGAGCTTCTAAAGGATTATGATTGCGTGATTGATTATCACCCTGGTAAAGCTAATATTGTAGCGGATGCTTTGAGTCGAAAGACGGTAACAGAGTTGAGATCTTTAATGGCCAGGATGAATTTATATGACGATGGCACTCTGTTAGCAGAATTACAAGTTAAGCCGACCTTGGTTGATGAGATCAAAGCTAAGTAGCCCCTTGATAGCTCCTTGCTTTCCATCTTTGAGCAAGTAGAGCAAGGGACAAGCTCAGATTACGCCATTGATCAGGATGAAGTTTTATGCTTCAAAGGTCGGTATTGTGCGCCTGATGATGCTGAGTTGAGGCAGACTATCCTAAAGTCAGCTCACTTCATTCTGTACGGGTAAATTATACATGGACAAGTTGGTGAGGTTGTATATTTCAGAGATTGTTAGATTGTATGGTGTTCCGTTATCTATCATTTCAGATCGAGATACGAGATTTAATTCGAGATTTTGGAAGGCGCTACATACGGCTTTGGGTACGAGATTGGATTATAGTACCTCCTTCCACCCACAAACTGATGGTCAATCTGAGAGAGTAATTCAGATTCTGGAGGATATGTTACGGGGTTGTGTAATTGATTTTCATGGTAGCTGGGAGAACTTTTTGCCTTTGGCTGAATTCGCTTATAAAAACAGTTACCAGACCAGCATTCGTATGGCACCCTATGAAGCACTCTATGGGTGTTGGTGTCGCACCCCGAATTATTGGACTGAGTTGCGTGATAGGAAAACTTTGGGACCTGAGTTAGTGCGGGAGACAGAGGACACAGTCAGATTGATTCGTGACTGTCTGAAAAAGGCATTTGATAGGCAGAAATCTTATGCAGATCAAAGGAGTAAGGATATACAGTTTGACGTTCAAGATCAGGTTTTTCTCATGGTATCTCCATGGAAGAAAGTATTGAGATTCGGGCGTAAGGGTCAATTGAGTCTAAGATTTATTGGACCATTTAGTATCTTGAAGAGGGTAGGACCTGTTGCATATCAGCTGAGTGCCTTCCCAGCTCAATCGTATTCATGATGTCTTTCATGTATCAATGTTGAGGCGATACCGTCCAGATCCAGATCACATCATTCAGGTTGAGGATGTAGAGCTAAGACCTGATTTGTCATATGAGGATGAGCCTATTCAGATCTTAGAAGAGATGAGCGAGTTCTTCGGTATAGGCGCATTCCAATGGTAAAAGTTCAATGGAGTACCCGAGGCCCCTCTGAAGCTACTTGGGAGACATTGGAGTCAATGGAGGCTCAGTTTCCTCAACTATTCTCATAAGGTAAATTTCGAGGATGAAATTGCTTGTAGAGGGGGAGAATTGTAACAATCCGGAATAAAATATTGAAAAAAAATTATTAATTAAGTAATTTGGTAAAATTTGAGGATTTAATCGGAAGTTTTCAAAATTTTAGGCCATTTTAGAAGTTAAAGGAAATTCAGGGACTAAGCCCTGAATTTAGCCAAAGAGTGTCGGCAGGTTATGTAGTTTTATACATGCACTGCGTTTCTGATTTTAAAATCAGAAACTTTTGTAAACAAAATTCCTCCTCTCGCACCCTTCTTGCAAGTCTGATCCCGACGCCGTTCGACATCCGATCGTCAAATTGAAACCACCATCGTGTTCATCTTCGACTTGTGAACAAAGCCCAATAAACCAATTTTAGTGAAACGCTGCCAAACGCCGTGAATTTTGAGTCAAAGTATCGACGTTTTTTAGTACCACCGCCGGGAAAATCTTAAATTCATCTCCGATCGTTGATCGGTTTTCGACACCTCCTGCACCATCGTGTTCCTTGTGTCGTTTCGAGTCCGTCGGTGTCAACCTTGTTCGCCGTCGACGGCGGCGCGTGAGGAAGTGGAGCAGTCAAAGATTCGGCCCAGTTGAAATCGAGCTCTCCGCCATTCAAAAATTTGAACCGATCTTTGTAAGTATCTCGAAATCGCTTAAAATAATTTTTAGAAATTTTTCCGGAACTTTTAGACCCCTGGAGGAGGCCTCACGCGCCGCCGCAGGGAGAGTGGAGGGCTGGAAACCGGTTTGACCGGTTTTTAACCGGTTCTGACCGGTTCGAACCGGTTTGACCGGTCTGAACTAGTTTGATCGGTCTGACCCGACCCGACCGACCCGACTGACCCGACTGACCCGACCCGATTGTTGACCGTTGACTTCCTTTGACCAAAACTTAAAATGGCTTTGACCAACCCTTAAACGACCGTAAATCTTTTCTGAGTATACCTATTCTAATAGTTTTCGACGTCCCGAATCCGTTTCCAAAGTCCGTTTTATCAAATTCGAACCTGAAGGCCTCCAAATTGACAGTCAAAGTGGTTGACTTTGACTTTAACCAAGAATCTGAATTTTTGAAAATTCATACTTTATGTTTTTCGACGTCCTGATTCCGATTCCGCAATCCGTTTGGCCAAATTCAGACTCAAAATACCCCAAAATGATAGTCAAACCTGAAAAATACTTATATACTTAAGAATTTTAGCTTTGAACAATTAAGTAAGCTTTGGGGTTGATTAATTATTATTGTTTGAAAGTACAAGAGACTCTTCGGATCGTTAGACAGCTCGACCCAGCTCTTCTAGATCAGTTAAACCACGTATATCAGTATTCACCCGTTCAAAAACTGTAACAGAGCGTGGTGAAACCAGCAATCAGTAGATCTACTATCTGAACCCATTATTGAGGTGTGTTCCTGTTTACTACATAATGGTTTTATATGTTTTGAAATATGGTACATTGAAATCTATGGTTTATTATTGTTGGTACACCGATTTATTGTTGATGATTTATGGACTTTGATGACTGGTATATGGATATTGATTTTGGGATGATTGAACTACAATTGTATAGCTCTGATTGAACTAGGCTAGGGTTAGGTTTAGGTTAGGTTATGGGTCGGGTTTCGTTTGGGCTCTGGGTCGGGTTCTGTTTGGGCTTCGGGTCGGGTTTTGGTTTGGGTTTAAATTTTGTGCTTGGTTCGGGTTTTATGTTTGGGATTGGTTTAGGTTGGACTTGAGGTTTGATTTAGGGTTTAGGTGTTAGTTTGTTTTAATTTGGGGTTTGTTTATATATAAAAAAATAATTGAAAAATGGCGATTACAACTGCCCCTATTTGCTTATTGTTGTGGAATGAGAATTAAGCAAATATATAAAATGCCATTTTTTAGCTCAGTCTTTGTTCTTCAAGCTACGAGTTCTTCTCATTCCGAACTCTCTACTAGAAATATTGATCATTTGAGTGAGGCATCACTGATTCAACTCCAAATGCGATGAATTGAGCTAAGGTTGAACAAGTTCTTCTCCCTCATCGGATGAGTTCTTCTCATTATGAACTCTCAATTGGAAATGTTAATCCCTCAAGTGAGGCGTCACTGATTCAACTCCATACAATATGAATCGAGCAATGAATCGAGCAAAGGTTGAACAAGTCATTCTCATTATGAACTTATTCTCCCTCTATCGGATGAGTTCTTCTCATTATGAACTCCATTGGAAATATTAATCCCTGGAGTGAGGCGTCGTTGATTCAACTCCATATGCGATGAATCGAGCAAAGGTTAAACAAGTTCTTCTTATTATGAATTATTTCTCCTCGTCGGATGAGTTCTTCTCATTATGAACTCTCCATTGGAAATGTTAATCCCTCAAGTGAGGCGTTGCTGATTCAACTCCATATGCGATGAATCGAGCAAAGGTTGAACAAGTTCTTCTTATTATGAACTTCTTCTCCCTCTATCAGATGAGTTTTTCTCATTATGAACTCTTCATTGGAAATGTTAATCCCTCGAGTGAGGCATCGCTGATTCAACTCCATATGCGATGAATCGAGCAAAGGTTAAACAAGTTATTCTCATTATGAACTCTTTCCACTATCGGATGAGTTATTTTAATTATGAACTCTCCACTGGAAATGTTGGTTGGTTTATTCTCTCTTTAAAGAGTTTTAAACTTGCAAAAGATTATCGTATGTTAGTGATTCGTATTTAAGGTACCCGAAGGTAATGATCAGATGGTCCTTAATTTCACTGCGATCCATTTCTTTCAATGGGGAAAGAAAATATGGACTGATTTTTTCCTCATGAAATTTGTGACTCCCTAAATCTTGTCATACATTCAAAACTTGATGCAAAATGAATGTGTATGCTCCTATTTCGCAAATGCTTGAATATGCATTATATGATTTTTGTGTTTCTGAATTTTAAGATATCGTAAGCCTTTGTTTTCCTTTTTATCCTCGTCGAGTTATTGTCTTTGTTAGGTCCTTGTCTGATTCGTAATCCCGACCCTCTTCACTTCTAGAACTGATCTCTTAATAATCTATGTGCGCCTCTGCCTAAGAGCAGCCAAATATATGCCTTAGAATGAACTGTGTCATTGTCTTTTCATTTTTTATTATATTATTCGGGTTGCATTCATCTCCTTGCTCGCCCTTTGTCAAACACTTGCTTCAATGAGTGTAAATATCGACCTGGTGGACTACCTTGGATTCCAGTATTTTATAGGTTTATTCAAAAGTAATATCGAGAAATTATTCGTTTGGAATTTGGATTATGTTAGGTTGTTCGTGATATGTAGAAATGAATGATTTGATGAATGAAACGATAATCATGAAATTCACTGAAAAATATAAGTTTCACAGAAATTCATGGCAATCGAAAGAATTGAATAGAGACTCTGGATGCAACAAAAATATGTCATAATGAATTTTATCACACATCTCGAGGTGATCCTTTGTCTCGGAGATCTCAAGGTAGTGGAGTTGTTTACAGATGTGAAGTCTTTCATGAACTACTAGTCTTTTGAGAGTGTTTATTTGTTGGATGCCCCTACATCAAAATGCATTTGAGCTACTTCTCCAGGTTTTCAACTCAAATCCTTCCCTTGGTTTCAAGACGCCCTTTGCGGGTTTTCACATTAAACCCTCATTTTCTTTTTTCTTTTTTCTTTTTCTTTTTCATTTTTCTTTTCTTTTCTTTTCTTTTCTTTTTTCTTTTCTTTTCTTTTTTCTTTTCTTTTCTTTTTCTTTTATCTTAGGCATAATATTTCTTGACATAGTATGAATTTATTGGGTTTCTCAGGACTCTTCCGTCCATCTCTGCCAAAATCAATGCTTATTCGAACAAGTTCTTTTTGACAACGTATAGCCCTCCCAATTGGGTATCTATTCTCGTAGAATCTTTATAGATTGGCAAAATCTTTTTAAGTACAGATCCCCTCTCAAAACTCTCTTAGGCGTACTTTCTTATCGTGGGCTCTCATCATCAGTTTTTGGTACATTTACCCATGGCATATAGCTTTCAGCCTTTTCTCTTCAATAAGATTCAGTTGATCAATACGAGACTTGTCACACCACAAAATTTATTTGAAATTTATTTAAAAATTAATTAATTATTTTTTAAACTAAACAGTAAATTTTTAAAACTTCTGAGCTAAATTCAAAAGTTTAGAAAATTTAGGGATATGCCCTGTAATTTACCCATAACTCATCTGACAATAAAAAAAGGTGATATAAGGGGTTGGCCAAGCTTGAACCATGACCTAGGGTATGGTCGGCCATGCCCCAATCAATCAGCCTAGACCTTATTTATATTTAAGATAATAAATTATATATTTTATTAGTTTTAATTTTTGGGTTTTAAATCACCCAAACCAGAAATTCCCCCGTGATTCAACCCCATTTCCCCCCAAATTATAACCTAGCTACCGCCACCTCTCCTTCGCAATTCGCTCCAATGCAACCTCCAATACTGCACTCTGTCGACATTGGTCGAACCAACATCCTCCGACGAAACCAACCCAACCATTAACGACCTGAATCGGCCATCGGTTGGCCTGAATCAAAAGTAAACCGTCGTGACCCCGTCGTTCATTTTTCGTTAATTCAAGCTATCGTGTTTGTCGACTTGCCTAACCGCCACTACAGTCGGACTCCTCGTCATCATGTGCTCAAAACCTGACCGGGAAAATCTTAAATTCATCTCCGATCGTTGATCAGTTTTCGACACCTCCTGCACCATCGTGTTCCTTGTGTCGTTTCGAGTCCGCTGGAGTCAACCTTGTTCGCCGTCGACGGCGGCGCGTGAGGAGGTGGAGCAGTCAAAGATTCGGCCCAGTTGAAATCGAGCTCTCCGCCATTCAAAAATTTGAACCGATCTTTGTAAGTATCTCGAAATCGCTTAAAATAATTTTTAGAAATTTTTCCGGAATTTTTAGACCCCTGGAGGAGGCCTCACGCGCCGCCGCAGGGAGAGTGGAGGGCTGGAAGCCGGTTTGACCGGTTTTCAACCGGTTCTGACCGGTTCGAACCGGTTTGACCGGTTTGAACCGGTTTGACCGGTCTGAACCAGTTTGACCGGTCTGACCCGACCCGACTGACCCGACCCGATCGTTTACCGTTGACTTCCTTTGACCAAAACTTAAAATGGCTTTGACCAACCCTTAAACGACCATAAATCTTTTCCGAGTATACCTATTCTAATAGTTTTCGACGCCCGAATCCATTTCTGAAGTCCGTTTTATCAAATTCGAACTCGAAGGCCTCCAAATTGACGGTCAAAGTGGTTGACTTTGACTTTAACCAAGAATCTGAATTTTTGAAAATTCATACTTTATGTTTTTCGACGTCCTGATTCCGATTCCGCAATCCGTTTGGCCAAATTCAGACTCAAAATACCCCAAAATGATAGTCAAACCTGAAAAATGCTTATATACTTAAGAATTTTAGCTTTGAACAATTGAGTAAGCTTTGGGGTTGATTAATTATTATTGTTTGAAAGTACAAGAGACTCTTCGGATCGTTCGACAGCTCGACCCAGCTCTTCTAGATCAGTTAAACCACGTATATAAGTATTCACCCGTTCAAAAACTGTAACAGAGCGTGGTGAAACCAGCAATCAGTAGATCTACTATCTGAACCCATTATCGAGGTGTGTTCCTGTTTACTACATAATAGTTTTATATGTTTTGAAATATGGTACATTGAAATCTATGGTTTATTATTGTTGGTACACCGATTTATTGTTGATGATTTATGGACTTTGATGACTGGTATATGGATATTGATTTTGGGATGATTGAACTACAATTGTATAGCTCTGATTGAACTAGGCTAGGGTTAGGTTTAGGTTAGGTTGTGGGTCGGGTTTCGTTTGGGCTCTAGGTCGGGTTCTGTTTGGGCTTCGGGTCGGGTTTTGGTTTGGGTTTAAATTTTGTGCTTGGTTTGGGTTTTATGTTTGGGATTGGTTTAGGTTGGACTTGAGGTTTGATTTAGGGTTTAGGTATTAGTTTGTTTTAATTTGGGGTTTGTTTATATATAAAAAATAATTGAAAAATGGCGATTACAACTGCCTATTTGCTTATTGTTGTGGAATGAGAATTAAGCAAATATATAAAATGCCATTTTTTAGCTCAGTCTTTGTTCTTTAAGCTACGAGTTCTTCTCATTCCGAACTCTCTACTAGAAATATTGATCATTTGAGTGAGGCGTCACTGATTCAACTCCAAATGCGATGAATTGAGCTAAGGTTGAACAAGTTCTTCTCCCTCATCGGATGAGTTCTTCTCATTATGAACTCTCAATTGGAAATGTTAATCCCTCAAGTGAGGCGTCACTGATTCAACTCCATACAATATGAATCGAGCAATGAATCGAGCAAAGGTTGAACAAGTCATTCTCATTATGAACTTATTCTCCCTCTATCGGATGAGTTCTTCTCATTATGAACTCTCCATTGGAAATATTAATCCCTGGAGTGAGGCGTCGTTGATTCAACTCCATATGCGATGAATCGAGCAAAGGTTAAACAAGTTCTTCTTATTATGAATTTATTCTCCCTCGTCGGATGAGTTCTTCTCATTATGAACTCTCCATTGGAAATGTTAATCCCTCAAGTGAGGCGTTGCTGAATCAACTCCATATGCAATGAATCGAGCAAAGGTTGAACAAGTTCTTCTTATTATGAACTTCTTCTCCCTCTATCAGATGAGTTCTTCTCATTATGAACTCTTCATTGGAAATGTTAATCCCTCGAGTGAGGCATCGCTGATTCAACTCCATATGCGATGAATCGAGCAAAGGTTGAACAAGTTATTCTCATTATGAACTCTTTCCACTATCGGATGAGTTCTTTTAATTATGAACTCTCCACTGGAAATGTTGGTTGGTTTATTCTCTCTTTAAAGAGTTTTAAACTTGCAAAAGATTATCGTATGTTAGTGATTCGTATTTAAGGTACCCGAAGGTAATGATCAGATGGTCCTTAATTTCACTACGATCCATTTCTTTCAATGGGGAAAGAAAATATGGACTGATTTTTTTCCTCATGAAATCTTTGTTGACTCCCTAAATCTTGTCATACATTCAAAACTTGATGCAAAATGAATGTGTATGCTCCTATTTCGCAAATGCTTGAATATGCATTATATGATTTTTGTGTTTCTGAATTTTAAGATATCGTAAGCCTTTGTTTTCCTTTTATCCTCGTCGAGTTATTGTCTTTGTTAGGTCCTTGTCTGATTCGTAATCCCGACCCTCTTCACTTCTAGAACTGATCTCTTAATAATCTATGTGCGCCTCTGCCTAAGAGCAGCCAAAGATATGCCTTAAAATGAACTGTGTCATTGTCTTTTCATTTTTTATTATATTATTCAGGTTGCATTCATCTCCTTGCTCGCCCTTTGTCAAACACTTGCTTCAATGAGTGTAAATATCGACCTGGTGGACTACCTTGGATTCCAGTATTTTATAGGTTAATTCAAAAGTAATATCGAGAAATTATTCGTTTGGAATTTGGATTATGTTAGGTTGTTCGTGATATGTAGAAATGAATGATTTGATGAATGAAACGATAATCATGAAATTCACTGAAAAATATAAGTTTCACAGAAATTCATGGCAATCGAAAGAATTGAATAGAGACTCTGGATGCAACAAAAATATGTCATAATGAATTTTATCACACATCTCGAGGTGATCCTTTGTCTCGGAGATCTCAAGGTAGTGGAGTTGTTTGCAGATGTGAAGTCTTTCATGAACTACTAGTATTTTGAGAGTGTTTATTTGTTGGATGCCCCTACATCAAAATGCATTTGAGCTACTTCTCCAGGTTTTCAACTCAAATCATTCCCTTGGTTTCAAGACGCCCTTTGCGGGTTTTCACATTAAACCCTCCTTTTCTTTTTTCTTTTTCTTTTTCATTTTTCTTTTTTCATTTTTCATTTTTCATTTTTCATTTTTCATTTTTCATTTTTCATTTTTCATTTTTCATTTTTCATTTTTCATTTTTCATTTTTCATTTTTCATTTTTCATTTTTCATTTTTCATTTCATTTCATTTCTTTTCTTTTCTTTTCTTTTCTTTTTTCTTTTCTTTTCTTTTTTCTTTTCTTTTCTTTTTCTTTTATCTTAGGCATAATATTTCTTGACATAGTATGAATTTATTGGGTTTCTCAGGACTCTTCCGTCCATCTCTGCCAAAATCAATGCTTATTCGAACAAGTTCTTTTTGACAACGTATAGCCCCTCCCAATTGGGTATCTATTTCTCGTAGAAATCTTTATAGATTGGCAAAATCTTTTTAAGTACAGATCCCCCTCTCAAAACTCTCTTAGGCGTACTTTCTTATCGTGGGCTCTCATCATCAGTTTTTGGTACATTTACCCATGGCATATAGCTTTCAGCCTTTTCTCTTCAATAAGATTCAGTTGATCAATACGAGACTTGTCACACCCCAAAATTTATTTGAAATTTATTTAAAAATTAATTAATTATTTTTTAAACTAAACAGTAAATTTTTAAAACTTCTAAGCTAAATTCAAAAGTTTAGAAAATTTAGGGATATGCCCTGTAATTTACCCATAACTCATCTGACAATAAAAAAAGGTGATATAAGGGGTTGGCCAAGCTCGAACCCATGACCTAGGGTATGGTCGGCCATGCCCCAATCAATCAGCCTAGACCTTATTTATATTTAAGATAATAAATTATATATTTTATTAGTTTTAATTTTTGGGTTTTAAATCACCCAAACCAGAAATTCCTCCGTGATTCAACCCCATTTCCCCCCCAAATTATAACCTAGCTGCCGCCACCTCTCCTTCGCAATTCGCTCCAATGCAACCTCCAATACTGCACTCTGTCAACATTGGTCGAACCAACATCCTCCGACGAAACCAACCCAACCATTAACGACCTGAATCGGCCATCGGTTGGCCTGAATCGAGAGTAAACCGTCGTGACCCCGTCGTTCATTTTTCGTTAATTCAAGCTATCGTGTTTGTCGACTTGCCTAACCGCCACTACAGCCAGACTCCTCGTCATCATGTGCTCAAAACCTGACCGAAGCCATCATCCACCATTGTTGTTTTCCTCATCGCCGACGTGGGTAAGCTTGGGGTATATTTTGTTTAATTTTTCTTTCGATTTCAATATGATTTTGGTTGATTTTGGCTAGTTATCGAATGTAATTGGTTGATTGAATTTGTGGGAGTAATCAGTCACCGACCAGACCCTTTTTTATAGGTTCAAGCGCCACCGAGTGCGCGTGGGGCTTTCCCCCAGCTTTGGTTCTTCTAGAACCGGTCCAAGTAGACTAGTACCTGGCACTTGGAGGATCAACACGTTAGTACAGTAACTTTTTGTTGTAATGTTTTATCTTTCGAGCTGCATTTAATTTGGGTGACATGTGCCTATGTTTTGAAAATACTACTTTTGTTGCTGATGTTAAATTTACCTCGATACTGATTTCGAAATATTTTATTTTTACGACTTTAATTTATTGAATTTAAACTTTGATGCTATTAAATATATTTTTAAATATTTTTAATTATAATTCGGATTTTAAGTTATTGAATACTATATTTGGAAAAAATGTATCGTAATCCGTTAGATCTGGTCGTGACGCATAGGCAGGGTCTAGAGGTTACAAGATTGAACCCATTCTGCTTCATCTAACTCTACTTCTTTCAAGACTCGAAGTTATGAAATTTCAACCTCAATGGGTATGATTGTCTCTGTTCCATATACCAGAGAGAAGGGCGTTGCCCCTGTCGATGTACGCACGGTCGTCCTATATTTATATAGGGCAAAAGGTAATTTCTCATGCCAATCTCTATAAGTTTTTGTAGTATTCGTAATGATTTTTTTGATGTTATTGTTCACTTCTTTTACTACCTCATTCATTTTTGGGTGGTAGGTCACGAAATTGGCATGTTTTATCTTGAACTGCGCACGGAGTTCATCCATCATTTGTTATTCAGATTAGTAGCATTATTTGTGATGATTCTTTCTAGCAATCCATATCGACAGATTATTTCTCTCTTTATGAACTTACAAACTGTAGATCTTGTGATACTAGAATAGGAAGCGGCCTCTACCCACTTAGTGAAATAATCAATTGCCACTAAGATGAATCGATGTTCATTTGAAGTTTTTGGTATGATTTCCCCAATGATGTCTATATCTCACATGGAAAACGGCCAAGGTGAGCTCATAACATGCAAATAAAAAAGGTGGTGCTTGAATTTTATCCGTATATATCTGGCATTTATGGCATTTCTTTACATAATTAACGCAGTTTGTATGCATCGTGGCCCAGTATCCATACCTCATTATCTTCCTGGTCATAGATAAACCATTTGTGTGTGTTCCACAATGCACTTCTTCCATTAAACTTTTTGTTTCTTTGGCAGTTACGCATCTCAACAAAACTTGGCCACTGCCCTTTCTGTATAAGGCCTCTCCATCAAGGAAGTATTCAGCTTTCATTCTTCTGATTATTTTCTTGTCAATTTCAGATGCACTAGGGGGATATGTATGGTATCTCATATACTGTAAAATATCGTGGTACCATGGATGGCCATCCATTTCTTCTTCTAGAAGATAGCAATGAGTCGGGGTCTCATATACTTGTATCCTTATTGGTATCATGTATTTCTTTTTATTAGCTTTAAACATCGCATCCAATGTAGCCAAAGCATCAGCCATTTGATTGTCTTCTCGGGGGAGATACTTGAATGTGACATCCTCAAATTCTTTCAGTAATTTGAGGACCAAATTTCAATATTCAATTAGCTTCGGGTCCTTCATCTCCCATTCTCCCCTTAGTTGGTACACTACTAATGAGGAAGCTCCATATACTTTAAGCATTTTGACCTTTCTTTCAATGGCTACTTTTAACCCCATAATGCATGCTTCTTATTTGGCCATGTTATTGGCGGAAAAGAATTTTAATCTACTTGTGAAAGGATAGTATATCTCTTCTGGGGAAATCAACACTGCCTCAATTCCTTTTCCTAAAGCGTTAAAGGCTCCATCAAAGTACAATGTGCAGGATTTGTCTCCAAGTAGCTTTTTTCTTCATTAGAAATGCACATCAAATCCTTATCTGGGAAATTGAATTTTAAGAGTTCGTAATCTTTCGAGGCACGACCTGCAAGAAAGTGACTATGGCACTCCCATTTATTGTCTTTTGGCTCGCACAGACGATATCAAATTTTAACAACATCATCTGCCATCTAGCCAGTCTGTCAGTCAAAGTATGAGACTCCATAAAAAAATTTAATGGATCCATCCTTGATATGAACCATGTGGTATTGTATAACATGTACTGCCTGAGTCACCGGGTTGCCCAAACTAAGGCACAACACAGCTTTTGAATCGGTGGGTATTGTAACATCCCAAACTATGGGTTAGTGACTTAATTGTAAAGTTTCAGAATTTGGTGATTAAAGTAGAAGAATGGGTTAGTTCAATGATTTATCTGGAAATAAATTCTAAAAGATGTTAGTAATTATAAAAGGTATTAAAGGGCAAAAGGGCCATTTGACCAAGAGATGAATTAAATAATGTTATATATATATATATGGATAAGGATGGGAGATTTTCCAGAAATATCTCTCTCTTTTATTCTTTCTTTTCTTCTCACGTGAAAAACTCAAAGCAAAGGTGGGTTCTCTAATTTCTTGATTGTTTGTTGATTTTAAGCATGAGTTTTGATCCTTAGAGGATAACTAAGCTTAAGGAAAGCTTAAGTTATCTTAAAATCAAAAGATGAAGAAGTTATAAGAGATTTAAGAAAACGATTTTTATGGAATCATGGAATAGAGTTGATAAGTTTTTAAGTTGAATTTGACTTGTCATCTATGAGAATAAGAAGATAGAAGTGTTAGAATTGTTTAGAACATATGGAAAATTAAGTATGATTCTTGAATTTCATATGAAGGATAGGATTTTGAAGTTATAGATGATTTTCATGGATATAAGTTAGTTTAAGTAATGGTAGTTGAGTTTAATGACATGGTACGGGTTTAAAATAGAAGAATTGAATGAAAATTTGATGATTTCCGAGCTTAAAATATAATTTATGGGTAGAGGGAACCGATGCCCTATGAATGGGAATCGATTCCCCCTCTTGAACGAAAAATTCCAGTATGTTCAGGGGGTATCAATTCCCCTGGGGGTATCGATTCCCCCCTAAATGAAAATATAGAATTTGATTCATTAAACCGGTTTAAGTTATTAACATAAAGTTTAAAGTTTAGGCTTCTGATAGTTGTTTTGAAATGATATATTTATGTAGATATTGAGCCTAAACAAGTTCCGGAATAATCAAAGGATTATAATCAAATCAAAGCAAGGCTAAGGTGAGTGCATCTTATTTTATAGAATTATATGGAAATTGGACTTGTGATAAGTCTATTTCCTATAGTTATAGTGCATGAAGTCTTGATTATAAGTATGTGAATGACATGAAATGTATGTATTCTTGATTATATGTGTTGACATGTTTTTGTATGTAATGATATGATGACAAGATATAAGATATGCGACAAGATATCTGTAATACATAAAAAGGTGATATAAGTTGTGTAATAAACCATGTGAATTGATATAAATAATTTGGAGAATAAATAGAAAGGTGTGATAAAATAAGTAGTATTTACTTATAAGGTAAAAGGAGATTATCTGAACAGATAGTATTGATAGGTCACATAAGACTACATGTCCATCTTTTAATGTAATAAAAGTGTATATGTGAAATGACATGATAGGTGATAAAAATCGTGAGCTATATGAATATGTGATATATGTGATGTATGGGAAACATATGAGAACAAGATATGACAATGATTTACATGTCATATGAACACAGAGAAGTGTTATTTCCTATAATTATAGTACATGAAGTAATAAATTAAATATGTGAATGACATGATTTTTATCATGTATGAATTCATGAGTAGAAACATGTGTGAATATGATTGGTATGCATTATGTCATGTGAACATAAGAGGACAGAGCATAAATTATATGATATGAGATATATGAGAAAAGGTACATGTAATATGTGAATTGTATGTTTATGTGAATATGTGATATGATATGAGATTCATAAATACATGTTTATGAGATATATGTTTACACACACATATGGTATGTGATAGAAGAGAATGAACATGTGATTATAAGATCAATGATTACACGTACATTTGGTACGCGACTGAAACGAAAAGATATATGTTCATAAGAAAAAGGATATGAATAAGTAAATTGACTGTTATAAATGATAATGCCCATGTTATATGATAAGAGAGCTAGTGGTATAGTTGGCATGCCAAGAGTTGAGGGTATACCTATGTTCTACGGAACATATGGACAGAATTACCTATATCTTTCGAGACATATGGACAGTATACCTATGTTCTACGGAACATATGGACAGAATTACCTATGTCTTTCGAGACATATGGACAGTATACCTATGTTCTAAGGAACATATGGACAGTTTACCTAGGTTCTTCGGAACCTATGGACAGTTGCCGAGGATCTTTATGACCTCTGGATAGTTACCGAGGTTCCTTGTGACCTCTGGATAGGTCCTTCGGGACATTGATCGAGCTGTAGTAACAGCATATGTGTGCACAACCTCAATGTACTCACATACCTAGGTTCTCACTAGTGTACATGGGCTAATAAAGAGATTAAACAAACATACTGAATGTGATATGTATACGATGGGTTTATAAATGGTTATCAAAGGTAAATGGTTTGAAATGTGTTACATGAACCATATGATGTTTTGTGTGTTTCTTAATGATAATGATAGAGATTATGATAATGATGGTATATGTTTATGTATGCTTTATGTTATATGAAATATTATATGTTTTATATGCCTCACTAAGTCAACGACTTAGCGTGTGATTGTTTCACACGTAGGTTTCGAGAAGAGTAAAGAGTAATGCGGAGCAAGATAGGTCAGTTCTCCTTACCAAATGTCAGATCAGAAAATATATGTATATAGAGTGTAGTTGGCATGTAGTCTAAAGATATAAATGTATGAACTCTGATATATTTATAAACGTTTTAAATAAGTTAAATGTTATAAAAGTTTTTAAATTACTCACTATTTTATACGAATAAATGTTTGAAAAGTCAATGTGACACTTCGGACTCGTATCCGGGTCGGATACGGGTTGGGGGTGTTACATTTAATGGTATCAGAGCTACGGTTTAGCCGATTCTAGGCTAAAAACGAAGTCGAAAGTGTTTTAAAAATTGTACATGCCAACAGAAAGTGAAAAATTTTCTGATCTGATAGGGTAAGGAGTGTGCTGTCTTGTTAATAGAGTTAAATTGTTATGTTATATAAGATAAGTGAATACTGAGAATGAGTTATGAGATATATATATATGTTTATATAATATGATAGATGATATGTGAACATATACAAAAGACATATGTTATATGATATGAATTGGAGGATCATATGCACACGTGATATGTGATAGAAGTAATGATAGGAGCACATGAATATATGAGAGCTTCCAAAGTGAAGCACAAGGCGATAGACCTGAAGGTAATAGCATTCACCTGCCTTGGCCAGGCAGGGAGAAGAGCGAAAACCTCAGGAAATGCCTGTATAAGATTAGAGAATGATTCAGGATGTTGAATGATATTCCGATGTGTTTTTAATTGTATACTTCTTAACTCATAGAATGAATGTATCGAAATAGTTAAAAGAGTTATGAGCACCCGATCTCAAGGGTGAATTTGAGGAAGGCTCTGTTGTTACAGACCTTTGAATATATGATATGAAGATAATGCTAGAAGATGTTCATTTCTCCATAGTGGAGAAATTAAACTGAGAAGTTTGTTATTATGTGGATAAGATGGAATATGGTGAACGAGTGTCACCATAAGGATGTTAAAAGATCAAGTGACGCGGTTATTGTTTGTAAAAGAGTTTGTATTCTAGATGGAAAGAGTTAGCATTGGCAAACCAGAGAATGTGATAAAAATGTACTGGAATTATAAGATTATAAGATGTTGTCAGGATATGATAACCAAATCTGAAATGAATATGGATATGGTTATGTATCTTGATCATACAGATATGATGTAGGCAAAGAGATAAGCATTGGTATGTTTTAAAAAGTGGCTTTAAAGAAAAAATACAATACAAGAGATGATAAAGAATAAAGTTCAGTATAAGAAATAAGGATATCAAAGTTATGAGGATGCAATGAAGATTGTTACACAGAGATGAATATAGGTGATAAGACAAGAGTATGTGAACATGAAAGGAAAGATATTATTTGTGTATAAGGAATAAATAAAGGAAGAATGGAATAAAGAAATGAAAAGGGATTGAGGATCAAATACGATAAAGGTTATATGGAATGTAGATGATAATTTTGATATATAAGTAAGAAAAGTATGTAAGGTTATATGAAGAGATTATGTGTATCGTAATATAGACAAGGATGAAAGAATGAATAAAAGTTTGGATTGTGGTGAATTAATTAGAAAATGAGGAAAGAAATCAATTGATTGATTTTTGATGTTGAGTGATAAGAATTGATGTTACTGTCTACAGGATAAGTAACATTATATGAATGAAATCAGAGTTATGAATTTGAAACAAAGGGATAGTATTGTGTATAAGGAAGAGTGTGGAGATGATAAGGATTTGTACTTTAGAA